TAGTGTGTTCGAACACTAATTCGAACACTGCCCCGGCGAACCAACAGAAAAACTGTCTTTTCAAAGACGACGAACAAGTTGCTTTGCGAAGCAGAAATTCGCGTTCGGATTTAATGGATTAATTTAATAAAGATCTGGCGTACTCGATTCTCGCATATTTGATCCGAACAAAGACGCGAACCTGTCACGAAGTGCGATGTACAACTAGCTTCTTTGGGCACAACTTTTCTAAAACCAATTAGAGGCCACATAGATCGTATTACATGTTTTCCTTCTGCAGAACTCATAGTTCCACCAATCGGCTGTTTTTCGCACAAGAAACGTGCGTGTGAGCAGGAATAGTGCGTTCCTTATCACAAAGTGGAATTAGCTTGTTGTCCGTCTGTTCGTTATGGATTGAATCGGGCCTGTCAAATGTAAACGCCTGATGATATCAATTTCGGCCTACCCCAAAATTACGACAAATTGCTAGTATCGATTTTCGCCCCCTCAAATCACGTTGCATGAACTTTCGTATAGGTGTGCTATAGAGTAATCAAAGTCTGCTTCACCTTGACCTTGAGTAGGTTTGATCTGAAAGAAAAACAAATGATGGGTGTTCCACTCATTGAGAGTTTCGTAGTTCCCCGTATAGTAGATACCCTCGGGTTCAGCCGACCAGCATGCCACCAGGCCCGTCCGCCGAAGGGGATTATCAATGAATGGGTTGACGTATACCGCTGCAAATAAGCCGTCGCGAACACACATCCCAGTGGATTGTGGCCGTGATATATGCGGTATCCTCTTTATTCTGTTTTTGTCCGAACAAGTTCGGTTTTACCTATAACTGCGTCATGTCTGGTTTACAAGCGTCAAATCAATTATTGGAATAAAAATTTACCAACTGGTCTGACATTTAGCCTAATTAGTTGACGAAAGTGGTCGCAAGTTAAATCAAAACCGAGAGAAAACACCGGTTGCGAGATGTCAACAGTTCGTTCAATCTCCTCGTTCTAAGCTGAAAACAATTTTGAAATATAATAAAAGTTTCGTCAAACTCCCCACCCCCACCCCGGCTAATATGCGCATCTGTAGTGTTTTTTAATATTTTCGAACGATTCATTAACCCCGCATTGGTTGTACATCACATTCTGCTGGGCATCTCATCTTTTGAAATCCCGCGATCCTCCCTCGGTCACTGTTCACCCTTCGGCAACCATTTACTCATTCACTTACTAGGTAAGTACAGTGCTTTGTCCTATGATCAAGCATTTTAAAGGGAAATTTCTCTTAGTTTCACAAAAATGTTCTACAAATCTCTTCTTCCCTTATTGCTAACTCGTTCTGTACCGATCGGAATCAATGTTGGCACTGCCGGTTCTACAGTCCGAATGCGTGAAAGTCATAACTACGCACCGTTGTGTGCGGCCACAATCAGCTGTTCATCATTTCATAAGCTGATCCCGGTGAAAATAAACGTCTTGTCATGCCTGATAACTTCGTACCTGGAAACTATGGCGAGATTTGTCACACACACACACAATAAATCAATATCGGGATAAATTTGTATTTTGAATTGAACGTTCCGAATTCTTTTTGCGATTTGCTTTACAATTGCGCAAAGTAGACCGTTGTGTGATGTATTTGTCTTATATTCCTCGATACTCCAGAGCACGAACCTAAGAAGTACATACCCAGTGAGAATTCAGTTATTTTTACTTACATGAGTCGATTGTGATCGATAATCCATTAAGGGGCTGATTAACGTCCGTACGACTAGCTGAGGAAAATAGTATGAGTAGTCGATGAAGTGATCATAGTATACGGATCCAAAACTGCGTCCCCATTGTGTTGCTCAGGGGCCAACTGAAGTATTCCTCACAAAGAGGCATGCGAATTCTGTATTCATGAGTTTTTTGTTTGTTTTTATTTATTCGTTCCTCAATCAGTCGCCAGCTTTGTCTCAGGCACAGGATTTTCATTCGTGAAAAATCAGATCAATAATGTGTGGCGTTTCATTCACCTGGTTGAGCACCGCTCAGCACAGTGAATGGTGAATGCGATCACGCTCCTCGACAGCAGACAATGTAAGAGATATTCCACCGTTTCACTTTCTCCGAGGATCTGTGCGAGTAAGAGATGAAACAGCGAGAATGTCTCAGCTACAATCGAAGAAAACGAGTGACCGCGTGCATCTCCACTGTTATGTATCTTAGAGGAATAAAAGAAAAACTTCACTGGGACAATACACATCTGGGTGGATAAAAAACATGGGAATTATTCAGACCGATGGATTAAGTTTAAATTCAGCCAAATTCGGTGATTCATCAATCGAGAGGTTATGGATTTGATTATCAGAACCGCTTTCTACATTCACCTCGTTTTATTCCCCACAGGTTCTGAACTGATCCGCCACCAAACCTTGAAACTATTTGAGCAATTCTATATTGATTTTCAAGCGGTTAAATAAATTTCATTTGAAAATCTTCGCATAATGGATATTGTTTTGACTGTTTGGAAGCTCCACTTAATGTGACCACGAATTGTCTGCAAATAACTTCCACAGCTACGAGCCCCTACCCC